GTATGTTGATCGGTTGAGTAGCGCAGTGGTAACAATTGTGCCTTATGGCAAGCAAGGTCCCTGGGTTCCCTTTTGTGTGGAGTATGTTCTTGCCCTTTTGTGTGGAGTATGTTCTGTTTTGCACAGATTTTCTCCCATAGCAGAAAAATCCCACATAAAATGTAATTGATATGGGCCAAATGTCGCAATGCTGAAAAAACATATCTGCAAATTACTCAAGTGGGATTACCATGTGTGCAACATTGCTGGCTAGGGGCGGAGCCAGGATTTTGACTTCAATATTTTGAGATATCCAGTGTATGTTTTCCAATGGGCGCCACAAATGTATAAAACTAATTTTATTGTATTTGAGCGCGGCGAGCTGACATGCCCATGAACTGCTGGACAATATCGGAGAGATCGAGGGACTTCGCGATAGCCTTCTTGATGTATATCACCATCAAGTCGGACATCCAGTCATCACCCATGCTGGTGTGCAGCCGCGTCTTCAAGATTTTCATGGCAGAGAATGCGCGCTCGGTGGTGGCCGTAGAGATCGGGAGAGTTAGGGTCAGTCGAATGAGCTTATACAACTGAGGAAATATGCTTACAAGTTTGTACTTGCAGAAAACGATGCTCAGTTGCTTAAGATTAGATTTGACTGGTTCAAATATGGCGGCGTTCTCCTCGTCACCTGTGAACATGACAAATTCAACAAGTTCCTGTTTAAGCGAAGTCAGATCCAACTCTCGAAAATCGGCCTTGTACATTGCCGCCAACTCAATGATCTGCCCTTGATTTAACTGGCACGATTCTAAGTTGTTAACTGGGTCGAGGTAAGGGATCTTACTGAGCAGTTTACAAGGCATCGGGAGAAAAACGATGGTTGAGTTCAGCTAATGTGGAGTCAACAACAGCATTAAACAAATCAATGCGGTAATGATCTTCGATGGTTCGCGGCACATGACCAGGACGAAGGTGACAAGGACGACCTCGCGCTAGCCAGATGTCATCCAGCGATAGGACAGGGATGTCGTGGTCTTAACAGAACGAAATTGCATCGTTCTTAACATCGTCCCATCCTGAATCTCGCAGCATCTACAGGGATGTCTTCGTCATGCGAACAAGCCTCAAAGCATTGAGAATATGCTGGTCCTTTCTCTGGAGGCATTGGGATAGGCTGTTCGTTGCTGATAAGATTTTGATCACTAGGAACATGTTCAACGCAAATTCAAAGGACGTCGCCCGCTCATAAAGCATCACCGCTTCAGCCCTTTTCTCGGAATTGGCAGCATCCGTCGATGCCCATTCAACCACTTCCATTAAACATTTCTGGACTGAATTCAATTGACAGTTCCAGCGCGTTGTCGACAGTGCCTGAATATTCTGTTCCTGATTCTGTCCACGACCGGTGTTGAGCTCACCGGCATTCAGCTGATAAACAACATTCTTGGCCTGAACATCACACAGCATATCCCTCCTCTTGGACGATGCACTAGCGACGTTTTTAAATACTTTGGACGTCCAGAAAGAAGAGGCAGAGTATATATATTCTTGGTTCTTTCGGTAAAGTCACGTAGAAGGGAAACAATAAAATAATAAAAATATAAAACAATAAAATTCTCACGACGTTTCGACTGAAACACAATCATCATCAGGTGTGAAAACCACAACAAGATTTTTTATTATTTTTCAAATTTTCTTGTTGTGGTTTTCACACCTGATGATTATTGCTTGTGTTGCAGTCGAAACGTCGTGAGAATTTTATTGTTTTATATTTTTATTATTTGATTGCTTCCCTTCTACGTGAATTTACCAAAAGAACCAAGAATATGAATCCCTGCAGTCACGAAAGCTTTAAATCAAAAAGAGGCAGAGTATTGGATTTGACTTGAGAATGGCAACAATTACAAGGTTCAGCTTGTGCGCCCAGCAATGTATGAACCACGCAAGCAGGTTCATCTCCTTCACTTTCGTCTGGAGGCGATTAAAGTCCCCGCTCATATTGGCTGTGCTATCGAAGTCTTGACTGCGAATCACGAAGGGCAATAGATCGTGCTTTAGCAGGAGACTCAAAAGAGCCTTGTACAAGGTATGCGAGCACGTGTCCCTGACATGCATCATATCGAGAAATCGTTCTTGAATCTCACCCTTCGAGTCAACCCAACGGATGACCAGTGTCATCCACTCTTTTTGAGCGGAGCAGCGGGCTTCATCGAGCAAAGTCGTGTACGGGACGTCGTTCCCGATCTCTCACCGAATGTATCGCCGCACGAGTGTGCCTGTCACATGGCAGAAGTCTTTTTGGCTCTCACCTGACGTGTACAGAGCGTTCTTGGGCGCCTTGCTCATCATCTTGGCCAGTTCAGGGGCTTCTTCAAATGCTAAGTTCAATGTTTCGAGAAAATTGCCCCGCTTCAAGGAATCGACTTTCTCATTGTCTCCTCGGAATGCAGTGCCCTGTAGAGCAAGATGACGAGCAATTCGTGCATGAAGACGCAGTCGAATCCCATTGATCTTCTTCTCGGAGGCATTCATCTGTTCAAATATATTGGCGATATGTCCCGTCTTGTCGAGCATCAACTTCGCTGAATGACGTGCTTTGTTATGAACGCTGTTCACTGCACCGATATGCTTCGCTATTCCCTTCGACTTCTCCACAAACGATTTCCAGTTGTTGTACCCGTCAAGAATGAACACATCGGCACCGGCGTCAATATTGGGCTTGGCGAATAGGTAGTATTATAAGCAGTACGCCTTGTCAGTCACTGGAGAATACTCCAACCATTGTTTGCAGTGCTCATTCTTGAACCAGCTCTTAGAGAATGAACGAGGCTTAGCATTCTGGCTGTACTTGGTCCTGGGATATGACTTCAAGTCAGGTTGATAAGGACCGGATTGCAGGTATGCATGTCGTACGCTATCACGTTCATCCGGTTCATAATCTGAAATTGGCTTGCGTTTGCCTGGATCTCGTTCAATAGTCACCATAGCACCGCGGTCATCTCGAGACGACCGACTCTTTTTGCGAGCAGGGGTTTTTCCACTAGCATGTGACGACGGACCCGATGACACAAGCGCAGACTCCTCTGCCTTTTCTTCTTCAGAATCTTGCTGCAATTCCAAATCCTCCAGCTCACTTCCTGACTGATCATTTTATTTATCGCTTTCCGAACCAATTTCTGCATCTGGCTCTGGCACATGTTGAGGCTCAGGCACTGAAGGTGAAAAATAGAGTTTTTATTGGTCGCATTGTGCTGTCAGCCTGTCAGCCCGCTGCTGGTCACAGAGTGAATCCGAATCCCGATTGTTCCAGAAGGCTGTGGCAGACGTGCGGAATTTATTAATAGGTCGGAGCCGCTGATGTGGCTAATACGTTCGATAAGTTTGAAAGGCTGCCGCTCAAGCAGCCTGCAGGGCAGCACAAGGTGACAGCCTGCAGGGCAGCACAAGGTGGCAGCCTGCAGGGCAGCACGAGGTGGCAGCCTGCAGGGCAGCACGAGGTAGCAGCCAGCAGGGCAGCAGCACAAGGTGGCAGCCTGCAGGGCACCACAAGGTGGCAGCCTGCAGGGCAGCACACGAGGTGGCAGCCTGCAGGGCAGCATAAGGTGGCAGCCTGCAGGGCAGCAGCACAAGGTGGCAGCACAAGGTGGCAGCCTGCAGGGCAGTACACGAGGTGGCAGCCTGCAGGGCAGCACAAGGTGGCAGCCTGCAGCATTTTTCAGTAGCCGGATATCCGGTTATCCCGATTACCGACTTTTCCAAAATTTCAGGGGGAGCTAAGCCCCCCCCAGCCCCCCCCCCCCCCCTGTGGCTCGGCCCCTGCTGCTGGCTACTGTAGAAATTTGGCAGGACCCTTCCCGAGTCTTGACTCGGGAAGGCTTTCCCTTTGTAAACAAGCGTAATAAAAAAACAATATTACCAGAAGGGACAGATGAGGTTCTTTCGGCAGTTATTCAGTGACATTGGACGACATCTTTATTGAACTGGAAACTAAAGCAATATTTCTACACGTTTAAAACATATTAAAATGTCCTGTTGACATAGTCCGGCCACCAGCCAGGAACATTGCTATTTTTGTGCTCAACAGATTCTGTAGTGAACACGTGCTTAGAACAGACTCCCTGTTTAAGGCAGTCACTGTTGCACAAGTGATCAACAAACGGGCGTCTATTCAGAAGAGACACCGCATGCAGTGTTGACTGGGGGAGGCTGTTGGATAAATATCCACGTGTCCAGCCACTGGACCCAGCGATGAGCACGTGTGTGCGCAGTACCCTGGAGGAGGCTGGCACCAGGAAATCTGTCTCTGTGCCAGGAGACAACCCCAGCAAACGTGAGCGAGGAAACAACCGTATAAAATAGTAGGGACTGTATATAGGGGCCGTCCATATATGACGCCACGCACCTATGGGGGTGGGGGTCAGATATTTGTGACGATGTGTGACGAGGGGGGGGGGGTTTGAGAAATATGACGTCACATCAAAATGCGCAACTTTAAATATAGACAACACGTTCTACTTAATTAAATATACTTTTGAATGTTTTATCCTACAACGTCAGAGTGCAGCGGCACATCAAATACGCACTACAAGAACCAAAGAAAATGACAATAGTTTTAAGCGATTTGAAGCATGTTTTATTTTGGGGGGGGGGGGGCAGAGCTTTGTGACGTCATATTTGAGCGGTGGTCTGACTTTTTGTGACTTCGTGTGACGAGGGGGGGGGGTCAAAAATCGTCCAAAATAGCGTGACGTCATTTATGGACGGCCCCATAGTACACACGGGGAACACGAGGTCCCCTGCACGGGGGCAGGCGGGTTCGCCTTGATCCCACCTCATGAATATTCATCTATAATGCGTGGCCAGCCAAATGAATATTCATTAATCAGCACAACCCATCTCATGAATATCAACGATCAAAGAGGTGGGGGCTTGGGACATCTCGGCCAATTGGATCGCCAATCCCGGCAAGGGGGCGTGGCCGGCGCGCGGTGATTGACAGGCGCGCGCAGCGCGCAACGTCCCCCCCCCCCACTCGTCCCCATCCCGGCCGAGTGAGCGGGCGAGTGGCGCGGGCACTTGGGCCGCGCCGGAGGAGTGGGAAGTCTTCGGGCTCCGCGTCCGCCTGTGTCCCCCCTCCGCTGCCCCCTAGGCGCCCCACCTCGACAAGTAACGACAACAAAGCTCGTTGTGAGCGCAAGACGGGCAAAGGCGCAGAAGGCTGCGAGAGCGAGCGAGCGGGCGGGCGTGCGGGCACCTCCACATCCTCCTCGCTCCCCTCCCCCCCAACAACCTTGCCGTGGACTGCTGCCAAACCGTGAGTGTGACACCGAGCCCCACGCTGACAAAACACGAGCCCCGCGCCTCCGTCCTCTGCAGGCAGCAGAAGCAGCGGTAGCTGCGGCTGCAGCGAGCGCTCCCTTTAACCACCACCACCACCACCCCAACCCCCACGCTCCGGGCGGCACGGCGCGACTGCGGCAAGGAGGAGAAAGTCTCTCCCGTCGCCCTGTCGCCGCGCAGCTGATCGCTCGCCGCGGCGGGGTCACGTGACGAGGGGGTGGGTGTGTGGGGAGGGGTCGCGTTGCGGTGGGGGTGGGGAGGGGTTGTGGGGGCGGGGTGGGGGTCGCGTTGAGGGGGGGTCAGGTTGAGGGGGGGTCGCGTTGGGGGGGTGGGGTCACGTTGCGGGGGGGGTCAGGTTGGGGGGGTGGGGTCGCGTTGAGGGGGGGGGGTCAGGTTGAGGGGGGGGTCGCGTTGAGGGGGGTGGGGTCGCGTTGGGGGGTGGGGTCGCGTTGGGGGGGGGGTCAGGTTGAGGGGGGGGTCGCGTTGCGGTGGGGGGGTCGCGTTGGGGGGGGGGGTCGCGTTGTGGGGGTCGCTCGAGAGCGGGCAGCGCGAGACCTCGCTCCCCGACCCCCCCCCCGTCTCACGTGACCAAGATCTGAAACTTCGGGGGGAGGAATCGGGAGAGGGGATCACGTGACTGCGTTCTAGAGGGGGTGGAGTGGGGGACCAACTAGTCGCGCGCTGTAGCAGGGATGGAGTGAATCCGCGACTGAATGAGCGAGGCATTATGCTGATGCAGAAGGAACGCAGCTCGGCCTCCAGGGGCGGCCTAACGTGGGCCTTTTTTAAACAAAACAAAAAATCCACAAATCGTCTTTTTTTAGATCCAGAAAATGACGCGCGGTCCGCAAATCGTCGGTTTCGCGGTCCAGAAAATCACGCGACAGGAATCACCTTAACGATAAAAAAAATGAATTGTATTCAAAATTAAATAATAGCATATGCTATTACAGTATTTAATTTATTTATTTCTACGTGACTTTACCGAAAGAACCAAAGAGTAATTCCTGCAGTCACGAAAGCTCCAAATCAAGTTTGTATTAAAAATATCACTGCTTGATCCGTGCGCTCGAACACACGCTTTGCTCCATATATGGGCCTAAAATAATAAACATAATTTATCATTCATTCTGTCGCGGATCCATTTTATCCTGTTCCAGCGCGACTGTTCTGGAGGGGGGTGGGAGGGGGGCGATCCTCGTGGGGTTGGCTGCGGGAAGGGGTTCATGGTGATGGCCGAGTTCTTGAACCGCGGCGCGCACGGTCACCATCGAGATTCACGCGCACGTGTTCTAGAGCACGCGCGCGCGTGTCCCAGAGCACCCGCACGTGTCCCAGAGCACCCGCACGTGTCCCAGAGCACGCGCGCACGTGTCCCAGAGCACGCGCGCACGTGTCCCAGAGCACGCGCGCGCGTGCCCCAGAGCACGCGCGCGCGTGCCCCAGAGCACGTGCGCGCGTGCTCTAGAGCACACGCGCACGTGCTTTTCAAAATCGTCTCCCCCTCCTGTTCTAGAACACGTGCGCGGGCACCAGGAGGGGGAGACGATTTTGAAGAGTCAAAATACGTATTCACTCGATTGTGCAGAATATCACCTTTACATCCCTCAGAAAACACATGTATGAGTTATGTTCCAGCTGCCTACATGGGTTTTCTTGAGATGTTATTTTGCCAAACTGTCAAGTGTTTGTCAGTCATACGTATTCTCATTATACAATGTGCATCCAATATACTACAGAGGCTGTCAATGCTGGGCAGGCCCACGCGTTTTAGTGGCTGATAAGAGAATCTGCGTGTGGGGTCTGGGCTGTTAGCTTACACCATGGTATCCATGGTGTTGCATTGTCACTCACATGAGCAATGGGTGTTACTCCCTGCACGTCCATAGCCCTAAACACGTCCACATCCTGTGGCGGAAGTGAACATGCATTGGGCCATTTCTGTTGGCGTCTCGCAAAGTGGTAATTATTTCATAGTTCCTGGAAAGAAGATGAGCTGAGATGGCCCACATCCAGGCTTTTAAGTCAGGACCTGAAGACGGAGAGCCGTGCGCACCATTGCATTCCGCCACTCGGTTGGATTTTAGAGCTGTAGGGTTCGAGTTACAGCAAGAGTGGCATCTTGCCCGGGTCAGGAACGCATGGCTTGTGGCTGAAGCCGGAGGAGCGGTGTGCTGGTGTTGGAGTGTGCCACCCGGTTTGAGGATTTGTCTCACCTCCCGAGCAGGAGGGGAACGACACATCGTTGGGTCTCTCGGTCCCTCAACTACACTGCAAGAGCCACTTTCAGTTGTACGGCATTTGTACACATGGACTGGTTTAAAATACATATATGTGCCTGACTACGATGGAATCCCCACAGCTCCGTCAAAGATTAAACGTTTTACTTTATCTGAAATTATGATTAATACGTACTATATACATGTATGTATGTTGACCTTTTGCACCGTACGTAGCCAACCGTGGTATGATTACTTATGAACCATAATTTGGAATTATAAAGCATATAGCACTGCATAGTATGGTTGCCATAATAGTTATACACAATTCAGGCTTTTTCTTCTTTGGTTCTTTCGGTAAAGTCACGTAGAATGAGAATAAAATAATAAATTGATGAAGGCCGCTTGTGTTGTGGCCAAAACGTCGTGAGAATATTATTGTGTTATTTTATTTTATACATTTATTATTTTATTCTCATTCTACGTGACTTTACCGAAAGAACCAAAGAAGATGAATCCTTGCAGTCACGAAAGCTTTAAATCGAAATTTAATTCAGGCTTTGTTCTGAAATAAAAAATAATAATATATACATTGTGTCAAATACAATACTATATTCTTCGGCAACACTCTTAATCGTGTTGTGTAGTACTTCTTGACACCCAGGAGACTTGCAGAGCCAGACGGAGACGAAGATTCTTACTTAGGGCCGCTTGCCGTTTATTCACATCTGTTACACACACTTCTCACACCCGTTATGGCGCCCGTCAGAACTCTGTCCTTTACGCGGACATCCCTCAGCTATCTACACCCGGTACGGCTTCCCTTATGTCTACCCCCTCGTCTGCCCCGGGCGGGGGCTCACCCATCACCGCCCGGCGACGAGGTGAGACCTCTACACCTCTAGCCCTTCTTCGGCGGCGGCGGCTGGGATGTCTTCCACGCAGGCTCTCGTTTCTCTCTCTCACTCCCCAACGGCGACCACGCCGTCGTTTTGGGGGGGTCCCCCTTAAGTACCCCTTGGCGGCACCTCCCCTTAGCTCGGACCCGCCCTTGTTTCCGAAGGTACCCCCTTGAAGCCCCCGTGACATGACGTCATCCCACTAATCCTCTACAATTGTATTATGATTTTTATATCTTTGAGAAGGTATATTGCTGCGCATGTCTTAGGATAACGCCTTAAATCTGAGTGAGAAAACCAGAGTGAAGAGAGAAACCTTAACTTGGAGGTTGTGGCATGCAACACTCATAGATGCAGAAACTCCACCCTGCAGACACACCTTTGCCATTGAAGATGGGTGTGTGATGATGACTGAACCACCAACTCCTTTAAGTGGCTGGACTACTCAAATATTTAAGTACACTGAAATAATTGCGCTTAATAGCAAATAGCGAACGTTATGCTGGTATTGTATACTGAAAATAAAGTTTTAATCTGCCATGTGAGTTTACCATATATGTTATGACCTGCAGGCTTTTTTTGTATATACATACTATGGAATATAAAGCATACATATACCGTACTGTTTTGCATGTGTATTGTGTCATAGTCAAATGTGTTTAGCTGTTTTTCGAGATGCAGCTCAACATTCCAGTATAACCTGGGCAACAGGGTCTTGTGACCTTGATAAGAGTTGTTTGCCTTTGGTATAAAAATGTATGCAAACGCATTCCTTTTAAACGTGGCTGAACCTGTTGGAAGTATTTTTTTGTTCCCACCTTCAATAATTAAACATGCCCTCTCTGGCAATGGCGAGGTGTGGTAGACAGTAGGTATTTTGTAGAGCTTTCAAAGGGTAAAACTAAAAACTCCTGTTGAAGATTAGTATTGGGGGATTGCATTCATTGTAATTAGTTGATTACATTTCATACTCATTTTAAGGCGTTTACTAATATGTTCCTTGTAAATCACTTTCACTGAATGTGTTCAGTCATTGTTTTCACGTCGCTGTTGACAACTCCCCAGGATTAATTGCATACGATCGGTAAAAAGTACTCGTAAATATGCATCCGCAGCTGGTGTCTCGTGCTCATGCACGAATAATCTTGGTGCGCTTATAACCTCACGATGCAGTCCATTTGCAGACACACAGCAGGGTATTTCAGAGAGCTGTGGCTTATTGAAGAATCGTTTGCTAAACTCAACATGGTGTGCACATTTCTTATTTATTTATTTACGTGTATAAGTATATTGAATTTTCATACAATCTTTGTATATGTTACTTTCTTCTGAAGTGATAAACAAAAGATAGATGTTTGTATATAAATGGTGTAACCAGTTAGTGGTATGTGTGTGCTTTCAGTGTATGCTATCTGGTTGTTGCTTTGCTAAACACAAGTGGCCCCCATCGTGCAAACCTAGTGTGGTTTAAGTAGTCAATTTGGAATTAATTGGTGAAATTAGAGACGCGGTGATAGTTTTTGAATGCCTCAATCCATTCACTTCAATTTCTATTTAGGTTTGGCTCGCATGTGATGTCCTTCATGCACTGGTACAATGCTGCCCTTTTAAACAAATGATTCATTTTTTTTGCAGCTTTATCTCTTCCATTTATTTATGTGTTCCCCAGGGCACTGTCCTAGGCTACCGCTTATTCAGTACAGTGTATAATTGGCCTTCCGTGAGCATTTCAACACTGTCACACATCATTGTTCGTCCATACCATTGTATTACTGTATACACATCATCCGTTTATTTCACATGAGTTGCTGATTATCTTATCGTGCAGTGGCAAATTCAGACAAGCTGCCTTGATT